TTCTGCTTGCACTCTGCGCTCGCAAAGACAAATTTCGGCCGGTCCGTTATCCTTTTTTTTTTCGTCCCTCCGTTATGTCTAGCTAGTGACTAACATTTCGGAGAATACATTTTCGTAAAACCATAATATGGCTTTATAAAAGTAAATTTTCTGATCATATTAAAATTAAGTTAATTGAATTCACTTATAATGTTATGTTTACGTATTATATATTATTATTACAATATAATTTTTAAGTTTAGTTATAGTAATTTTGTCCGTTAAAATTTATTTATATATTTTAAACATTTTAATATTAAAATTTTTTAATAATTCGTATTGTATTTATTACTCAAGAAGTAAAAATTATATAGTCGGATGTTATTCGCTTTAGAAGGGGTATAGGGGCAGCGGCACGCGCCAACAGCGAAGAGAAAACAAAAGAAATCAAGTAAAGAAGAGACAGGAAGATTTGGTGCATTCTGTTTGAGTGATTGAAAGGGAAGCATCCATTTAAATTGTACGCAGCAGAGTTACTTTAATCGTTTCTTTAAGTTCAAGTAATAAAGTCAGGTATGTATGTGTTACATTAAGTTTAAGATGTTGTGCATTGATCTTAGTTTCAAGTACGTAAATTTTGAAGGTGTTTTATGAGGTCCGTTAGCCGAAAGTGGAAGATGAAATGTTTTGTGCCAATAAAATTCCCGCAAAGGGGTATACACAGCTCTAAAAGGTAAATATACAAATAAACAAGTAAAACGCATTATTTAAGCATATGCTCATACAGCTGCGGTCAAAATAATAGTAGTGCCCACAGAGGCTTTTTAGTAACCCCGAAAAATAACTCTAGAAATGTTTTTACAATTTTTTCTTTAATTTTCATTGAAACTTAACTAATAGTAGCTAATAATAATAAACAAAAACTAAGGATAATTCAAAGGATTTTTCCAAAAAAAATACTGATGTGAATTTTTACAAAAAATTGTTCGGTCAAAATAATAGTAGTGAAAAGTTTCAAAATTTTCACAGCCCAAAAAAAAACGTTTATAGGTTGAATTATGTACTGTATATAATTCATCTATGTTTATATTATATTTTAGTATCTTGTTGCATATCCTTTGTTTGCTATAACAGCTGCACAGCGCTTATGCATGGAATCAACCAAGTTTTGGCATCTCTTTACAGGAATAGAGCTCCAAGTCCTTTGTACAGCTTCCCAAAGTTGGAAGTTATTGCTTGGTTTTATTTCTGAGATTGCTCTTTTTACGTCACACCATAAATTCTCAATAGGATTGAGATCGGGTGACTGTGCGGTCCACTCCATGACATTTACTTGGTTGGCTGCGAACCAATCCCTAGCATGTTTACTTGAATGTTTTGGATCGTTATCCTGCTGGAACGTCCAAATAAGAGGCATGTCCTCGGAGGCATATGGGAGCATCACGTCGTTTAAAATATTGACGTGTACGTAACGGTCCATGATGGTTTTGACCCAATATATTGGCCCAACTCCATAGTGTGAAAAACTTGCCCAAATCATAATTGATGAACCACCATGCTTTACCGTTTTTAGCGTACACTTTGGAGAAAAAGCACTTAAGGGTGGTCGTCTAACAAACTGCCGAGAGCCTCGGCCTCCAAACAAAACTATTTTTGACTCATCCGACCACAAAATATTCCTCCACTTTTCCAAAGGCCAATTCAAGTGCTGCCTTGCGAACTTTAAACGTTTGGCGGCATGTTTTTTTGTGAGTAAGGGCACTTTTCTTGGACTTCTTGAAATGAGGTTATTATCTCTAAGCCGTCTTCTTACCGTTTCCAAACTTACATTTAAGTCACATGTTTTTTTCAGAGATGCAGCAGACGCGAAAGGCTCTATTCTTGCCTGTCTTCTTAAGCGATCCACTGATCTTTTGTCCAATAATTTGGGTCGACCACGCGTTTCATTTGCTATCTCATATTTAACAGCATTTGTAATCATTGTAGAAGAGCAGCCAATAATATTTTGCGTTTCGACATAAGTCTTTCCAGCAGAAATCAATTTTTTTAATCAGATCTCGCCTCTCGGCAGTACAGTGTTTCCCACGGCCCATGTAGCTAGAACTAATTTTAGAGAATAAATTCAAAAATGCTAGGTACTATTAAATAACATCTAAATGTATTGTTAAACAATACAAACCTTGTTAAAAATGGAGTAAATTAAATTATTCTTGATAATTTCTCTGGCACTACTATTATTTTGACTGAGTCAAGCACGCGGGTCATTGCAAATAAAGGCGAAAATAAATACAAAGAGGTATGAGAACCAAAATTAACTGCACATTCTTAGAGAGCAGATAATTACACTTACTTAATAGAAAAAATGAATTAGATTGGCGAAGAAATAGAGAAAATAATGATTAAAAAACTCTCTGAGCGAACGACACTACTATTATTTTGACCGCAACTGCATATATTTTCAGGAGCGTTGGCCTAGGACTCAGTGGACCTGGACAAATGTTTAAGAAAGGCGATGACCAATGCAAAAAACAAATTAACGAAGCATACAACTAGGCTTACTAACAATAGTTGTCCTTCAACAGAAAAGCTAAACAACACAATTTAATTAAAATGAAGTAAATAAAAATGAATGTATTTTATGTTCTATGTTTTCATAAGTTATAACTCATTGCAAATACTTTGAATTTCACAAGTGATTTCACGTGGGACGTGTCACTTGCAGGTAATTTCATAGGTGAAAACTCATTGGAAATATTTTGAATTTCACAAGTGATTTCACGCGGGAAGTGTCACCTGCAGGTGACAGGCCATAGGACAAATGACTATAAGGAACAAGTGAAATCACGAGTGACTTCGAAAAACTTCACTTGTGAAAAAGCGGACATCCCTTACAATTGTCTATGTTTACAATTTTTCTTACACATCTTGAAACTTGTGTCACTAAACGTACACCGTTAGCTAGTCAGAACTATCGAAAGATACCCAAAGGTCTATTGAATGTGGACATGAGTAAAATAGTTTGATATACAAAATAAATATAAATGTAGTTCGAAAAGGACTAAATGGCAGCACTGATGTGGGTGCAGACGGACTTTAGCGTTATAGGCGTTTGTGGGCGTTACAGAGGGACATGGCGAGATCGACTCGGCTAGTGATCCTAATCAAGAATATATATACTTTAAAGGTTTGGAAACGCTTCCTTCTACCTGTTACTTCCCGACGAATCTAATACACTCGTTTACTTTACGGGTATTGGGTACAATAAAACTCATAAAAATAATGGTGGTTCATTGACCAAAATCGAGCTCATTGGTGCTCTAGAGTTTTTGCAAGACTTATAAAAAAAAATCATTTTTTGTCAAGAAAATCTAAAATAATCTGTATATTCGGTCCCTGGTTGTGTACGTCCGGAAATAAGCGACACAAATATTATTTCAGTTTAACTTTGGTTTTGGGAAAAGAATAGTTTCTCTGTTATGACGTCGTAAAAAGTGGCTACAGTGACGTGAAGGAAATGTTCCAAGTGTTAACTCTTAAGATTTTTTTCGACCTGACACCTCCGTCTACTTTGAAAAAGGTAAAAAGGGATATAACAGTTGTGAATTAAAGCATAAGTCGGCAAAATTTGTTCAGAACAACTCAATATATATATAGTGACGTGTCTGCACTGCGATTTCTTAACAGCCACCAGTTCAAAGAACGAAACCGTTCACAAACAAACAGAATCGCCAATTTCGGCTTTGACTAAAAACGATACAGAAGCTTGAGATCCCGCAAAGCAAACAAACAAAGAAAATTTATTAAGTCCGAACGTCAACAATGACGTAATTCCATAAACGTAAAAATCCAATAAGATCTAAAAATCTAATAGGACCGAATTATGTAAACATAAACAAAGAAGTGGCGTTCGCATCATACACTTGCGATTGCGTCACCTAATGCACTAACAGTAAATTCTAAAACGCAAATCGAGGTTTCATTCTAACCAATTCTGTAACAATTGGTCTTTTTCCAACGTTCTAATAAAGAATAACCACCGAATATAAAAAAATCTTCTGATTTTTTATTCGGGCGCAGAACGACTCATGTAAATATATATATATGAACCGAAACATTTTTCTTCACAAAAATATGATCCATAGAAAACATTGTTAAATTCTTTTTAACTACCAGGAACTACAATCATTGGTCTTGGTGTGTTTTAAAACAAAATTAGTTATAAACAAGTTAAATCTGACAAAGAGCATGTTTTTAAAAATGTTGTTTGCAATATAAAAGCTAATCAAACACTAAGCGATAATTTACGATCTATATCGCAAAAACAAAACACTTTTGTTCATTCTCTTCCTAGAAATTAACATTATTTTACCGTAATGTTATTGCCACAGCAAATTATATTAATTGATGAGCTCGGGAAAAATTGTCTAAACATAAAAACTCGTGAGATCCTGAGATCTTTCAAAATTCGTAAAAGTTTAGTAACTGTGACTAAAAAAAATAATTTTGATGATTTTGAGTGGATAAAAATAATTATTACCCTCTACGTTTGAAGCTAAACAATCTACTTTTTTTTAGGAAACTCAATCAGTTTCATTTAAGCTTTTTTGCAGAAAGTCCTTGCAGAGAAGCTAGCTCCTAAAGCACAAATGTAGCGGAACTCTTCTGTCGTCTGAAATACAAATAGAGGACGTTAGAGAAGTAACACACTAGTGCTTTTTTAAAGCTTCCTCGAAATCAGTGTGGTTCTCTTAAAAGCTCAAAAATCAACTTAACTTTTCTACCACTCTGGAAAGCATTCGTTGTGCTGCCAACGAGTAAAGTGCCGTTAGTCAGTCCAGCTTCTTACGGTTCTCTTTGGAAGAGCTCATATTTAGTGTCCGGCTGCTCTCTGCTCTCTCTTTTCGGAGAGCAGTCTTGCATCTCCCTTTTCTACTTTTCTACGACACTTACGCTGAGGCTATCTCCCTTTTTTACTGACACTTACGGTGGCTTACGTTTTGCTGACACTTACGGGCCAGCAGCCAGAGCAAAAGGTTCTGGGCAAACTTAAGCTGAGAAATTGTGTCGAGCATTCAAGCGATTTATCCGGTTTTAGATGAAAAGCATTGAACATTTAAATCACGGTTATCTACTGATTTTACAAAACCACGATTAATAATCATCCTCAAAAGTTAATTGACCAGCAAAATCGCATTAATTGCTAAAACGCATAGCAAAAATTTAACAGTGTGGTGAATAAATAAAGCGTTTAAGAGCAATAAATGCTTTTGATTAAAAACATAAAATGGTTATCAGGCTTAGTAAAATGAAGCCAAGCTTTGGTGTCAACAACACTTTAATTGAAACACATAATAACATAATATAACAATATTCTTTTAGAAACAGTGATGGCTTAAGATTTATTACTATCAATTTAAGTGTAGACCAAAAAACCTATTTATTTGCCAAGGATAAAAATAAAAATATTGAGCGAAAATCGGATACTGATACTACTACCAAGGGATTTTAAAATCGCGCTATACCACCAACTGTGAATAATAAAAACATATTTTTACGGGCATAAATCAATCTTAAAAGGTAATTAGTTATTCTTAAAAAATCAATTTATTAAAATGCAGTGAAAATCAGACAATTGATTTTTTTACTAATATATCGGTCAGGGTATTCGGATACTGGTACAACCAATAGATTTAAAATTCGTAGTAATCAACCAACTGTAAATGGCAGTAAACCGATTTAATACACATGGTCAAGTATTAAATTGGATTTGGATAATAACCAATCTTAATAGGTACTAAGTTATTCTTTGTGTAGTTAAATCAGCAATACAATTTGCTCAAGACTTTCTTTCTTATTAAAAGCGAAAGAATGTCTAATTAAATTAAAGACACATTAAAATAAAAAAATAAAAATCACGTTAGCATTTTAAAAAAGCTTTTAACCAGAAAAATATTTTAGCGGAAGGGTGTTTCTGCGCAGTGGTGCTTGCACTTATTGTTTCCAAGAGCACAGCGTTCACACTGAAAGACGGCGAACAGCCAGGAAAGGTCTATATGCCAAACAGTGACGCCACGAGAATATCCACAAGTTTGGACGTTTTAAGAACTTATAACATCTTCCTCGCATACAGTTCTTTGACTATTTCAATTTTTTAAGCAACACTTTTGGGAGATGAATTCGCCTTTAAATCGAATTTTTTTTTTAATTGCCAGGTCTTGTCAAGAAGGTCTTAAGCTGGAACTTGGCCATTTCTTTAAAAAAAGCATAGCAATATGGCTTTCCACGACAAGATCATTAGAGAGAAAATTTGAAAGTGTATTTATTTAGTAGATCGCTTAAAGCGTTGTCGTTACAAGAAACGAGGTCAGAACTTTTGTATGTTGAAGGGGCGCGTCTCTAATTAAATTCGTTATTCGTAGAGTAAAAGGGTATAATACATTCGTCTGAAAGTGTGTAACAAGAAAAGGGAAGCGTTTCCGACAACGTAAAGTATATATATTTATTTAATACCCATCTACATGCCAAAAATTATTGAAATCGGACCATTCATTAAAAAGTTATAACCAAGTAACAGTCAATACTTTTCTTATTCAATTGATATTTGTTATCCACTGTTATGCAGAAAATCAGCTGTTTTCACTAATACACCGCAAAGCCGCTATGGCTAGGTAGCGCTCTCCGATTCCTGAGATTCATGCGCAGCGCAAGCCGCCCACAAACTTCAAAAAATCGTAAATATGATTGCTGATATCTCGGAAACTATTAAAGATAGAGAATTGGATTTTAGATTTAGATTCCGTAGCCTTGTACACAGCCACGCCTACTCTTACCGCCTATGCCTATGGCGCCCACAAATTTCATGGTAGAATACAAATTTAACTGAAATGTATTGGTCTCGTCAATACCTATCGATTGACCCAAAAAAAGTTTGCCTCCAACGCCTTTAACGTTTAAATCTGTCTGTTGCCCACATAACCCTATATTGAGATCGCGGGTAGGTGGCGCATTACAATCTCGTTTGGCTGATACTCGATAGTCTAGATACTCGACAATATCGTTCTTCCTTCTTCAAAAATGTGTTAGGGCACTTTCTTTGCTTTTGTCCATACCTACATAAACTTGGAAGTGCAATCGGTGTAAGAGATATTGCAAATATAAATAAAATTTGTGTTCTAAGTTTAAGTCGATATAATAAGAGCCAAACGCGATCTAAGCCAGAGAAACGTAAATGGGCTTCGGCTTCTTTTCTGTGCTTTCCGCACGTGAAGTTATTGTGGTTACATTTCAAAACCCAAAACATTTTTCACAGAATAATTTGGTGTTATTTTAATTCAAAACTGTCTTCTTTCGTTCTAAAATTTATAATCTTCTGCAAACCTGAGGAGTTATTTGCTCTGAACTAAGTTCTAGGTTTTGACGCTCTATAACTTATAATCGCGAATTTTCTCGATAATGTGTAATACGTCGAAAGATGAGGAATCTCAAGTGTTTGCAAGTTCTGAGAGTGTTTTACAAATCGACTATCTAGTTTTTGAAAAAATACCGAAAAACCTGAACCTAAAATTTAACTTAGCTATAATTTTGCAGGGATTTAAGTAGGAACAATTATGACATACAACTATCTAATGACATATAAATTTGAATTTTAGCCAATTCTATCTTTTATCCCGCTAAACTAGCGATTTTTTCAAAAACTTGTAGAACAAATGTTTTTGAGCTCAATCGCATCAAATAATAACACATCTTAACGAGGTAAAAATCTAGTAACGATCGCACCTTCAACAAACAAAAGTTCTGCAATCAATTTTTGTGACGAAAATCTATAATACGATCTACGAAATAAATACACTTTCTAAATTTTTTTGATTCGATAAGCTTTATCAAAATCAGCTAAACACAGGCATATTGAATTGGAGCGTGCCGATATATACCAGTTACTCAGCACTCAAAAAGGAGGCGATAGAGATATATAAGTAGCAAAGCGCCTGTTCCCAAGAACTATTTTTGGCACTTAGTTGAATACTGATAACCAACACAAAATCTCAAAAATGTGGGTGCTAAAAGTGTCTTAGCGTTATGGGCGTTAGAGAGCGCGTGACACCCTATTTCCTCTGCGCAAGAACCTCAAGAGTTTACAAGCCAAATACTAACTTTCTAGCTCTAATAGTTTCCGAGATCTCAGCGTTCAACCGGACGGACAGACAGTCGGACAAACGGACATGGCTAGATCGACTCGGCTAGTGATCCTGATCAAGAATATATATACTCGTACTTTATGGGGTCGGAAACGATTCCTTCTACCTGTTACATACCTTCAGACGAATAAGATCCCGTCTGGTTCCGACTTATATACTACCTGAAAAGAAGACTTTTGGGAAACTTTTAGCCCGATAGCTTTAAAACTGAGAGACTAGTTTGCGTAGAAACGGACGGACAGACGGACATGGCTAGATCGACTCGTCTAGTGATGCTGATCAAGAATATATAAAGTATATATATATATGGGGTCGGAAACGTCTCTTTCCCTGCGTTGCAAACTTCTGACTGAAATTATAATACCCTCTGCAAGAGTATAAATATGGGTGCTAAATGGTTTTAGCGATATGGGCGTTTGTGGGCGTTCGAGTGGACGTGGCACCCTGGGGAAACAAACTTCTAGCTTTTATAGTTTCCGACATCTCAGCGTTCATACGGACGGACAGGCAGGCGGCCAGTCGGGCTGGTTGGACATGGCTACTTCGACTCGGCTAATGATCCTGACATTTCCTTGTACCCTTTTACTCTACGAGTAATGGGAAAAAATAAACTGTAATGCACCCTTATTGTCCAGAAATATGGGTTTTTTCGAGAACATGTGTATAAGCAATAGGTTTGCATTTTGGGGCTGTATCAACCTGTTCTCATATGCGTCGTTCTTTTACAATTTAAACGGAATTCACCAAAAATAATTTTTCACATTTTTGATTTGCCTGAAACTTTTTTTACGTATACTATTTGGCAAACAAGCAATAAACTGTATCAGGATTTAACTAACAAATAAATGTTTTGTAGTTTGAGTTTTGTTATAGTTTAAGAAACATAAAATATTAAAAAGTAACCTCTGTTTAACAACTATTTCTCCATCTGTAGCAATTGACTTATTTTCTTTTATATTTATTTCTCTAAAACCATTTTTTTCCAAAATTTTTAAAATTCAATTATTAAATAACATTAAAAAAACCTTTAATAATGTGGGCGCAAGAAAGGTTTTAGCGTTATGGACGTTTATGGGCGTTAAAGTTGGCGTTAAAGTGGACGTGCACTCCAATAAAACAAATTTGCTCTGCGCAGGAATGCCAAGAATGCTTAACCCAACATTCTAGCTTTTATAGGTTTTATCTCAGCGTTCGTACGGACAGACGGATATGGCTATATCGACTGGGCTTGTGATCCTGATCAAGAATATGTATATAATAAATCTTTAGCGGGATCGACTTGTCGAGTGATGCTGCTCAAAAATACAAATAGGGTCGAAAACGTATTATTCACTGCGTTACAATCTTCTGACTGAAATCACTGTCTGCAAGGAAATAATAATTTGAATGTCTAACCGTTACCCTATTGGGTTTTAGTCCTTACTGTAATAATTATGTAGTTGTAGCAAACGACTAGAAAGATGTTTTGTCGATGTAACAAAATGTTGGAACTCAGAAGGGTATTACAATGATGACTAGTCTAACGAACTATTCGACTTGTGTTTGTATTATAGCGAGTGCAAAGCGCAATATATTTAAAATCACACAGTGTCTTAAAGATGGACAGCAACCAACTACTAGCGAAGGTAAATATTAAACTGTAATACAGCACAGACAAGAACCCAAACATTTTGGGACTCGAAACAGTTATACAAAACGAACAAAGGCACAGCTGAATCGAACAATTTTCATATCCATCAGTCTAAAGCATGGACTGCAACCAAGAAATGTAATAACTTCAAATAAACTGTACTACAGGACCAACAAAAACCAAGGGATACGGTCTGTCATTCGAATTATAAACAACAAACCCTGCAAAGCTAATGTCGGCTTCATACAAAAGCGAATAAAAAATACTTTTTTTTTTGAGGAAAAGATCATAGCAGGCACAAAATCCTAATAAAACTTGTAAACAGAACAAGAGAACACGCACCTACCCTATAGCGCCACCTAGCCTAAAGCTATCCTTAAGCTCGGGTATCGGTTGGAGATTAGATCCTAATCCCCACACTTAGGCCACATTAGGCCCCTTGTGATACCACATGATCTCTGGTTAGATCCTTTTTCCTGGGAAAACCCAGATAAAACGCAATCAGATCAATATATATATATGTAGAAGGAACTTCAGTTACATAACTTCAAAATTGACTTTAGTCTTTTCAATTCATTAGATACGTTAAATATAGTTCTTAAAGTATTAAAACATTAAATAAATCAAATTTGAAATGTAAAATAGTTTTCATTGTCTCTCCATTGTTGTGGTTTAGTTTAGTCATCTTTGTGTAGACCCATTTTTCTTTTTAATTCCATAATTCATAAATAATGGTTTCGTGAAAATGTCCG